TCAGAACTGTTCACTATTTAGGGGAGATAATGTGTAAGCGGCCGGATAGCTCAGTCGGTAGAGCCGCGGTACGGTATTCCGAGGGTCCCGGGTTCGAGTCCCGGTCAGGCTGCACATTTTTCTCACCCTGTGACATTTGGCGCCCAACGTGGGGCCGTGACTGATATAGCTCAGAGTTTAATTTACATTGCTCTGTAACTCTGTGAAATTCGAGGACGAATTTCAATATAGCAGGGAGTATGTCACGGTTCAGAACTTTTCACTGTTTAGGGGACAAAATGTGTCGGATAGTTCAGTCTGTAGAGCCGCTGTACGGTAAATCAAGGGTCCACGGTCCGAGTCACGGTCAGGCTGCACATTTTTCTCACCCTGTGACATAGGCATGTACCCCACACTGGCCACCAATGTCGTATGGTCCTTTTTCAAGATGTATGAATAGTCTGTTTATGCCTGTAAGGACATAAACATACGCCTTGATAAATAAATAAATAAATAAATAAGATGACAATTTCTGGCGCAAACCAATAGAAATGTTTATATCAAAGTGCGCATGCGTGAGATGGATTTTCCGGGAAGTTTGTAAAAACTGAGGCCCGGCATGCAAATTATGTCAAATGAAATATGAGAGATTAGTTGTTATATTGAGATGATGAAATGGAATGATATGGGATAATGGATTGTATATCGAACTGTAAACAGACAAATACAAGAGATATATATACAACTTCAACTTCAACTTCAACGGGTTTTCTCGACAAAATCCACGAAGTAGACATCGACGTCGAGGAGGTGAAGACTGTACATCGGTGTAGAGTGGCGTGTTCCGACATAAATTTTTAAAACTATTTTACACAATTGTATCACAACTGTCCCATTGACAAACTGATGTTCCACACTACACCCTTAAAAAGTCATTTGACCAACATGTATTTACACTTTACAAGATGTTGACCATTTAAACATATGATGGTACGACTGGAACGAGCTGGATGGAAGATTTAAACGCCTCCAGGCTCTCAGAAGTAACACAAGAATCCGGTATAATATTCCAGGTATTAACAGTTCTTGGGAAAAATGAGTGTTGATAAACGTTGATTCTAGATTGGATTGGGATGAATTTCATACTATGACTTCTTCGGGTTGAACGAACTGTGGCAATAGTGGGGTGGTACGATACTGGTACAGCTATTTAGTAGTTAACTACTTTATACATGAGAGTCACATCTGCCCAAACTCTACGTTGTTGAAGACTGGGCCATTGTAATTTATTTATTAGTTCAGTTACACTAGAAGGATTGTGTGGGTTATACGGTCTATTCAATACCCATCTTGCTGCGTTTCTTTGTATCTGTTCTATCTGCTTAACTTGAGTCTTTTGTAAAGGATTCCATATTGGAGAAGCGTATTCCAGTTTAGGTCTGACCAAGCTAATGTAAGCCTTTTCTTTTTACTTTGGGAGGACAGTATCTTAAGTTCCTCTTTAGAAAACCAAGTGTACTTGCTGCCTTTTTTGTGATGTTGTTAATATGGTCGTTGAATTTCAAATTATCACTGAATTCAACCCCTAAATATGGATGCCGGTTGACTATTTCCAAGCTTTCGCCTTTCATTTTGTAGTCATATTTCTTTCTGTGTGGAGAAGATGAAAATTGCATAATGGCGCATTTTTTAACATTAAATTCCATTTGCCAAATGTCCGACCAATTTTCAAGTTTACTAAGGTCTTCCTGGAGAGCTAAGTTGTCACTTTGGTTACTTATCGGCCGATATAACACACAATCGTCAGCGAATAGACGTATACCTGATGTAATATTATCTGCGATGTCATTTATGTAGATTAAAAAGAGTGTTGGTCCGAGGACTGTTCCTTGCGGTACACCAGATGTTACTGAGGCTATATCAGATGATGCGTTGTCCACTACTACTTGTTGTGTTCTATTAGATAAAAAGGAATCAATCCAACGCCTAGTATTACCGGAAATACCGTAATACTCTAGTTTGTGTGATAAACATCTATGAGAAACTTTATCAAATGCTTTAGAAAAGTCTAAAATTGCCATGTCTACTTGTGTACCGGAATTATTTGATTTTGCAATGTCATCATTTGTCATTAATAGTTGAGATTCACAAGATCTTTTCGAGCGGAATCCGTGCTGATTTTCATGTAGAATACTTTGAGAATCAAGATGATTCATAATTTGTGACACAACTATATGTTCAAGAATTTTTGATACAACGACTGTCAAAGAGACTGGGCGGTAGTTTTCAGGTTTTGATCTATCACCTTTCTTGAAGATAGGAACTACATTTGCTTGTTTCCAGTCCAGAGGAATTTCACCAGTTAACAATGATTGCTGAAAAATACTAGTCATGATGGGCGCCAGTTCAGATGCTAATGTTTTTAACACTTTAATGGGAATTTTGTCCGGACCACTAGCTTTTTGCTCATTTAGCCGTTCAATACATTTCTTTACTCCATTTTCGCTGATGATAATATCATTCAAAGGTATGTATGGGGACTGTCCCTTATCTGGAATGTTTTTTAAGTTTTCATTTGTGAATACCGAACTAAATTGACTGTTTAAAAGGTTGGCTTTCGATTCTGCACTATCTGCTATAACACCCTGGGATTTCAATGTACCTATACTGACTGAATCTTGTTTCCGGGCTTTTATATATTTCCAAAATTTCTTTGATGTTGAATCTTGTTCCGGGTCTAATAGGTTGTTCAAATATTTATGATAGTCACTATGTAGTTTATTCCTTGCTTTCACTCGGAAAAGTTTGTACAAATACAAGGACAAAATGATACATAAAAACGATATTCAAAAACACGAATATCGACCACATGACATAGATCATAAATTATAATGATGATGGTGGTATAGGTGGTGGTGTTTGTATTGGTGTTGGTGGTTGTGGTGGTGCTGCTGCTGCTGCGGCTGCTGATGATTGAGGTGGTGGTGATTGTGGTTGTGCTGGTGGTGGTGATTGTTGTGGTACTGGTGGTGGTGATTGTGGTGTGATTCTAGTGATTGTGGTGGTGGTGGTGATTGTGGTGCTGCTGGTGTTTGTGGTTGTGCTAATTATTGTGGTGGTGATTGTGGTGGTGCTTGTGTTTGTGCTGGTGCTGGTGATTTTGCTGGTGGTAATTGTTGTGTGATTGTGGTGGTGCATGTGCTGCTGCTTATGCTGCTGCTGCAGCTGATGATGATGATGATTATGATGATGATGATGATGGTAATGCTGCTGCTGCTGATGATGATGATGATGATGATGATGACGATGATGATGATTAGAAATCATAGTAATAAAAATGATGATGATCATCATGATAATTTGATGGACAAACCATAGTTTATTTTATTTGTATTCCTAGAATTCTATAAATTTGAAACACATTTTTCACCGATGATAGTGTGTAAGTGATCTCTTCTGATTCTATATACAAACTGCGATTACTTCCCTTCCATTATAGTTAATAATTTTACACTTGCCAAACTATGAAAGGGAGATAACTTCTATGACATTGTACGAAGGACGATACTTCAACAATAAAAAATATTAGGAAAGTGATACTACGCATTATTGATCATTATGTGTGTGTTTTTTGTGTCTTTTTTTTTAAGAAATAAGATATGAATCTGGATGTAGATTTTACAGGTAAGGCAACACCTTGTTTATAATACTACATTCTAACCAAAACGAAAATAATACCATTTGAATGGTGTAATATATTTTCTATTCACATTCCATTTTCTATTTGGTTGTTGTTGTTTGTAATGTTGTTGTTGTTTTTCAAGTTTGTACATTGACTTATATAAAAAAAATCACTCACTTTTGATATGGACAAGGTGTTATTTAGTTGCATTGTATTTTACCAGATAGATATCACCATGTAGACACTTTGTTTAGAAAGTTAAACGTTAGCACCTCTCAATACTATTTTGCTATATTGTTATACAATATCTTATTGAAGATCATTGCGTACTAGGATGTAAAACGACTCAATAATTCAAAAATTAACACCTGGTGACTGATTTATGTTTTAAAAAAGATTACAAAATTTATTACAAAATTGACATTATCAGAATATGAAAAAGTTAATGCAACCATAAATTACTTGTTTACTGTTTATTATATTGAAGATCGAACACTACGATTATAACTTATAGTGATATTGTGTTCGTTTGTTTGTTGTCAAGTTATGCTAAATTGATGATATATTTCATAACATTGACGGTTATAATGGTGACTGACCAACAACTGATATTGGAAACTATTGAATATGAAAAAAAATCTGCCTAAAATATTAAAAAACTGGCCCACTCTTTTTTATGAATTGAAAGCTACACGAAAAGTCCGATGAATATTTACAGAAATTTCCTTAGACCACTTGACTTTTTATCGTTCATGCGAATAAATTATAAAATTGAAAGGAATTACGGCAAAATGTAATCTTATTTTGATTTCACCTGTTCATTCACTTTTGGATGAGAATAATGTCAATTCAAAGTGTATAAAGATATATCTTATGGAATATTTAAATGAAATTTTATTTACAGTAGACTTATATCGGCTCCATAATTTTATGGTTGATTCTCGGAGGAGTTGTAACATAGAATGTCTCTGTTATCGAACGTGCATAAATAGAATAAAATGTTCCGGGAAAATATTATTTTCATATTTTAGGGTGAAGCAAGTGCACAATTTACAACCATATTTATTTCATACAAGTAATTTGTAAAAATTCTCTTTTACAATTCAAACATTATTTTTGCAGCACACACATATATATATATATATATCATATTATAATTAACTAGTCCACAAAGATTTCAACCTCCAACATTTCGAGGGGTTAGACCCCTCTTTATCAAAGAGTTGAAAACTTTGTGTACCAGATAATTATACATTGTTTACAGAATGATTTTAGAAATAACATTGCATCACAGAGAAGGTACATTTGCCTTCGTACTAAAATAAAACAAAACAAATAATGGGTTTTATTGTTTTCTTTATTATTTAAGTTAAATGCATATAAAAAGACTTAAATAATCTGATATAGCAAAACGACTAACATTAAAGAAGCCGTATGCTTTACACAGATATATTAACAAGCCATAAAATAAATAAAATAAATAATTACCATACGAGAGATCATACTGTTGACATTAGAAACATAACTGATGTCAAAATGGAGAGTATACAAAGTCAACTTGGTTCTGCTAACAAAAGTTCATAGACTAAAACACACGATTATTTAGTGATTGTCTATTCTGATACACTATTTGGTGCAATTTCTTTTATAAATTAATGAGTCTTGGCATTTAAATTTTATGTAGTGTCTCGATTGATCAAAGATTATTGAACCATAAGGTACACTGAACAAACAACATCACTGTAAAACTGTGGTACAGTCTTTAGTTTTAAAAGGTGTTTCAATTATTGTACAATTGATGATAACAAAATCCTTTTTCCTCCATGTGTCCGATTTTATCACTCTCGATGGCAGGAAAGAAATCAAAGTAACATAGTTTCTTTAGGTTGGTATGTAGGAATGGTAAATGCGGAATTTCAAATCGTCTGAAAATAAAACAGATTACACATAACAATGAGGTTATATTAATGGAGAAATTTGTATCGTAAATAATATACATAACATTAACAATATAAATAAACAAATCTTTTAAATATGGAATGATTATTCATATATAGCATTCATATATAGCACTTAATACAACTATTTTATACCATCTTTGACATACAATAGAAAAACAAAGACGTGCTCACCATGCAGAAAAAATGACACATTTGGTACACATTAGATTCTATAAAAACCGATACATGTATTTATATATTTTACAAAACAATAAATTCATATAAAAGAAAGCTTTCTTAACATTTGATACATTGAAACTACTATGTATGTCGTTGTTTAAATATATGATTACTAAAGACGCTACATTAGATATACCTTTTCATTGAGCCATTTGTGTTTAGATTTCATTGCTTGTTATGATCTTTGTTCGCTTAACAACTGTGCTGTTAGTGCTACGTGAAGCAGAAAGACTGCGGTTTGTAAGACGAACTTTCTGGAGGGAGTTCTCGGCGGAGTCAGCACGTTCCTCGGCACTCTCAAGCTCATCTGTGACCTTTCTGTACTTAGCCAAGTTAATGGCAGCTACCTCTTCCTGTTAAAGATATAACATGACAATAATAGAAATGTCGGCAAATTTAAAATTTATATCTTGATTATTTTTTTAAAGTAAGATTTTGATAATCTGCATTTATATTTTACTTAATTTAAAAAAGGTAATGTTTCTCGGAGAAAACACCGGAACTCTAATGATGAAATATGTAATATACACTGGCTACCATTTAATTCAGCCGCAGATTAAAACAGTAACTATAAAGATACTGAAATACTTACAGCTTCATCAGCCTGTCTCTTGTATACTCTGATCTTATTCTGGAGCTTATCAATCAAATCTTGGAGACGATCTTGGTTCTTCCTGTCTTCATCTACCTGGAAGGCGAGTTCCTTAAGACGACGGTCAGCCTTGCGCATGTTCTTTTGTGTTTCAGCATGGCGGCGCTGTTCACTGTCAAGTTCTGTTTCGAGCTCAACGACCTAAATGAATAAGAAGCTACATTAGAATATTTGTATATTAAGTATTGTCGCTGTAAATTTGACAAAACTAGGCAAATGTATATTTATTTTTGGCTGCACTGCTAAATAGTACAATGCATGTAAATATCAAATTATAAATATGTATAACATGTACTTACTCTCATTTCGAGCTTGGCAATATGTCCCTTGCCTCCCTTGAGAGCCTTGGATTCAGATTCACTGAGACGAGTAGTTACTTCTCTAAATTGTACTTCAAGAGTCCTGCGCATCTTTTCAATCATTGAGCTGTGTTCTTTTTCTGAACGAAGTTCATCAGCCATGCGAGTCATGTCAATCATAGCCTTCTTGGCCTGTTCATCAGCACGTCTGATTTCTCCGCTCATTTCCTCAAGATCACTACTCATTGAACTGACATCGGTTTCCAATTTCCTCTTCTGGCTTGACAAGCTTTGAATTTGAGATGAGAGCTCGTTTACACGGTCAGATGTTTCAACAAGCTCATTTTCAGCTGCCTTGCGAGCTCGTTCAGCGACCTCAACAGCTGCACGCAATTCATTAGCTTCCATCTGAATGGAAGTAACACGACGCTCAACAATTGAAACAGACTCGATAGACTCACTTGTCTTGCGCCTCTCGTCATCAAGAGCAGACTGGAATTCTCTGCATTGTTCTTGGTACCTCTTTGCATTCTTTTCCATATCAGCTCTTACGCGATTAGCGGTATCAACTGCAGCCTCAAGCTCGTTGATGTCCTTCTCAAGCTTCTTGCGGGTGCGGAGAGCTTCGTTTTTGCTTCTTGTTTCAGCCTCAAGTGTTGCTTGCATTGATTCAAGAGCACGGACCTGGTTGCGTCTGAAAGTGAATCATAGTATATAAGACTAAGAAATATTCCTGATATGACACTTTATATAATATTTTAGTGTATTTAAATCAGATAGGAATCTTAAAATATAATCTTGCATTTACCAATGTTATGGATTAAATGTCACGAGAATGGGAAAATAACAATTATTTTTTCAGTAATGCAATTGTACCTAGTATTTTCGAATTCCTCTTCCTTTTCGGAAATTCGCCTGTCAATCTCTGACCTAATGCTTGCGATTTCAAGCTGAGCTCGTGTGACCTTAGCTTCTTCCTGTTCAAGAGAACCCTCAGCTTCCTCAAGAGCAGCCTGGAGTTCTTGTTTTTCCAACTCAAGACGACGGCGGATTTTGTCCTGTTCGTGAACGCTTCTACCTCCATCAGAAAGTTGGTCAGTGATGTCATGGATCTCAACTGAATAGAAAATCATAGTGTTTGTATTTTGTTTGTTTGTTTCTTTGTTTGTTTGTTTGTTTGCATTGTATTGTATTGTTGCACCACCTAGACCTAGCAATTACCAATTCAAGTGACCGACTACTAATTTTAAAATCAGCGATGAGAGACAAATTATATTACACTCTGTGCCCGAGATATGTTTCACCTTTAAATATTGTGTAAAGCATTGGTGGAATAACTTATTTGTGAATATTGCATATATACATTGGTCAAATACCAGCATAAGCAATACTATTACAAAATGTTATACCTTTTAAACAATAATCTATATTACATGTAGTTGCCTTATGAAATGTTTGTGATGACCTTTTTTTAAAAAAAATACTTTGATGTATGGGGTATACATACTTGTTAAGCTATTGTTTTCTCGTCTCAATGTTTCAACAGTTGAAACAATCTCTTCATATTGTGTCTTTGTACGATACAATTCTGTAGAATAGCTTCTGCTTTCCTTCTGAGCGTTTTCAAGTTCGGATTGGAGACTGCGAACCTTCATCTGCCAGTCGGCAACAACCTTGTCGAATGATCTATTCTTCTTTTCCAACTGGGTAACCAAAGACGATGCTCTATCGCTATTAACTACAGCATCCTCAAGCTCGAGTTGCAGTCTTGATTTTGCCTTTTCGAGTCCACTCATCCTTGAGTTAGCAGCCTCGAGTGAAGCTTCAGTTTCTTGGAGTTTGCTAGTAAGTTTTCGTCTGATTTCTTCCAGTTCTTCAGCACGTGCCATGCCCTCTGTTTCGTACTTGACGCGCCATTGTTGAGCTTCAGCGTTTGCTCTAGAAAGTTGTCTCTGGAGATCTGACTTTGCTTCACTTTCTTCTTCAAGTTGTTCACGGAGAGCATCCATATCAGCAAGGGCATTGCGCAATTCGGCTGAAAGTTTCTGGCGAGCCTGTAAATAGAAGGAAAATACTTTCCATATGCATTTAATTTAAAATAAATGATAAACACAATATCTTAAGAAAAATTATATGCAAATTAAGTAATTGTCCAAGTAGGAATACAATCAAAGATTTAAGTTCGGATTGCCTTTAATTTGAAACATGTGAGTTGAAATAAATAAAGATCAAATGATTCAAGCTCACCCTAGATTCATCTTCCAATGATCGTTTAGCATCATCAAGAAGGGCAACAAGGTTTGAGCGCTCTCGTTGCAAGTGGTTAACCTTGCTCTCAGATTCTTCCAGTTGACGGGTAATTTCTGAGCTTTCTGTTTGGAGTCTCGCTTTTGTAGATTGAAGATCCTGAATGCTGCGTGAACTTTCATCAAGACGTGAGTTAAGTTCGGAGATCTGAGATTCGACTTGCTTAGACATCTTTTCAGACATACCCTGTTAAATATATTCTTCATAAATAATCTTCATATATTAAGTCTAAATATATGTATCATTCAAATAGTCACTTGCAAAATGTTTTCATTGTGTCCATTTCTTCATATCAACAGTCTAAAACGGTATACAATACAAATATCAAAACTCCTACTTAAAGTTTTAGTTTTCCATATAAATGAACAAACTGTTTCATTCTTGCGAATTTCAATCTGATAAATACTTCATTAAAATCTTTGTTTGCATTTTTAGTCAGGTCGGCATCAGTTACTTGGACGTTTAAACGTCATTTGTTTAACCCGACCTTATGCCTTTATGAGAACGTTTTAAGATTTCAAATACTAAATACTGATATTTGTCTAGTTATTTATATTTTAATGCATGTCAACTGCACTCTGAAAACGGATATAATAACTCATTTGTTATCAAATTATCAATTGTATTTTTTCTTAAACATGATATTTTAACATGACTAAACAGCTTACTCCTTTCTTAGAAGAATTAGCAAGTTGATCCTGCAAGTCAGCGATTTCATTCTTCAACTGTGACTTCTCTTTCTCGACCCTGATATTTAAAAAAGTAAAATGTATGAAACAATACAAACTTTCTAAAAACTACTTAAACAAAGTACATTTGTGTAGATTTGTTTGTTAAAAAGTGATAAAAAGGAGTATTTAATACGGCATCATATGTAAAATAATATTATTTTCTGCCAAAATGAACCCAGGTCAATTATATACATACTTCTGTTTGACTTTTGTGAGTTGATCGATTTGATCAGCCATTTCATTGCTGCTATCCTGTGCCTTCTTTCGTAGGGAAGCCATTGTAGATTCGTGTTCAAGGGCGGAGTCCTCAAGATCACGGCGAAGCTTAAGAAGTTCCTGTTCACGTTTTTTGTTGACTTCAATTTGAGCAGCAGTTGCACCACCAGCCTCATCAAGACGCTCACTGAGCTCTTCAAGTTCACGATTGAGTTCATTTCGCTGTTTCTCGACCTTATAATGACATTAAACAAATGGTTCAAAATATATCATTGAAAAAATACATTACTTACATTGCACATAGATGTACAATATTTTTAAAGTCAAATTAACTAGCAAAACCTTAACACAATTTCAAGTATATTATCGTATAATAAATATGCATTGAAAATACAAAAATATTACCTTGGCTCTGTTTTGTCTCTCATTCTCGAGTTCCTCTTCGAGCTCTTCAATACGCTGCAAGAGTTCCTTGATTTTCCTCTGGAGTTGGGCAACAACACCTTGTTCGTCTTCAAGCTTAGAGTTAAGATTCTTAATTTCATTTTCTTTCCTAAAAAACAAACAAACTAGTTTATTATACTGTCTATGCATTGTATTTCCATCAAGAACATTTTCTTGTGTTGACCTGAACTGACATGTATCTACTACTAAAGATACCGGTATTTTAAGTTGTATGAAAGTTACATATATTTAAATTACTATGTGCATATGAATTTTAATTTAGAGACAAACAAAATGAGAAGACAACAAACTTAATTCCTGATTCTAAAACAGAGAAAAGCGGAATTTCTTAAAACAATGCCAGGAACGACTAAAAAGAACATGTTGCAGGCTCCGTTTAATTAAGCTTCTTCATGAACGATACTGTCAAGTGCAAGTTACCGTCCATGCCCCCTAGTACCAACTTACAAAAGTCATATTATCTTTTATGAGTTAGAAAAACGATTTGCAAAGTAAGAAAATTAACCGTGATACAGTATGATATAGAAAAAACATAAAGTTCATCTTTTCTTAACATATTTACATATTTGTTACTCTGAACAACTTTTAGAAAGACAAAATATCTTACTTCTTGATGTTTCCTTCAAGCTCTCCCTTAACACGTTCAAGTTCTTCTACCATTTCTTGTGTTGCTTTGAGGTCTTGCTCAACCTTCCTCTTGACCTTCTCAACATCACCACGGACTTTCTTTTCTCGTTCAAGATTATCTTCCAACTGAAATAGGAAAACAGTTAAGCCTTATTATGAAAACCTTTAACGAGAAGTCGTAAATATGGAAAAAGAATTTTGTAAACATTGGAAAAGATATTCTAAGCGTATTTATGATATTTACCTTTCCTTTTTTAGTATAATACAATTTAAATTATCATACCTCATCTAAAGTAGATTCCAATTTCTGCTTAAGCTTGTTCAAGTGATTGACTTTGTCTTCCTCAGCGGCAAGAGCATCTTGAGTCTTCTTCACAGTTTCTTCAAGGCCTTTCTTGTCTTTGTTTAATTTCCCTATTTGTTCGTCTTGTTGGGCCATCTCACCCTGTAATGTAGTGATCTGTTTATCTTTGGTTTGCTTCTCCGTTTCAGCCTTTTTCAAAGATCCCTCAAGCTCTTCAATGCTTTCCCTGAGTTTAGCTGCCTGTGCTGACAATTCAGCCTTAGCAGCCTCAAGAGTGGCAGCAGAGCTTTCTTCATCAGCACATTTCTCTTCGAGCTCCTTGATTTGACTTTCATAATCAGCCTTCTGTTTAATAAGGCATTCGACCTTTTCTTCCATGTCAGCAAGAGTGTCGAGTTCAGCAGAGCATTCCAACTTAAGATCATCCTTCTCTCTCTGGAGCATAACACATCTTTCTTCAAGCTCTTTCTTGACCTTCTCAACCTTCGCAAGCTCTTCCTTTGTCTTAGAAAACTCTTCCTTCATCTGGTTAATCTCATCTTCAGCTGCGGCTGCGCTAAGCAGAGGCTTGACCTTGGTGTACAGTTTCCACCATTGCCAGTTCTTCACAACCATGTATTTTCTGATATTCCTCTGGATGACAGATAAGCCAGTTCTGCAAAATGATAGCAAGTTGTACATACATGTGGGAGTTCTGCATATGCATATTTAGCATAAAAACAGCATATTTTCGTTATACATATATTTAAAACGATTATGATATAAATATAACGTATGTCAGAATATCACCTTTATGACATTTTTATGTGATTGTTTACCTCTGATCATGAAGTTTCTTGTACTGTTTGCGCATGATGTATCCTCTGATATGGGCCTGGAACAGGGCAACAATCTTTGAAAGACGTTCATCACGCATGTCTTCAAGATTACCCAATACACCGGCCTTGAAGAATACTTTGGTACTTCCGATTTTGTACTCATTAGGATCCATCTGAAGAGCGGACAGAATTTTGGTTGTTACTTCTTTGCCATCGTGGAATCCTGCTGGCACAGCATCAGCAGCCAAGATAGAGTATCTATCAAAATCGAAAGTCATGTATAGACAAAACCCGTTATCTGTAAACGTGTTGCTAATATTTTGTAAAGCAATATTCTACAGTAATAAATATGGTAACATATTAAAATTTAAAAGAACTTTATATGATATAAGAATACTAGTATGATTCGTTTTAAAACAATAATTTTAAAAGATAAAGACATCCTGTAATGATGTTTACCTTTGTTTGAATTCAGAGTAGATAATCCTGCTTGGGAATCCCTTTCTACAGATACGGATACCTTCAAGTACACCGTTACACTGAAGCTGGTTAAGTACGAGAGCGGCATCAATCATGCCTGGTGTCTTCAACTCGTTGGGAATGATACAACGTACAAAGTGAGGGTGAGTGGTATACAAGTTTTTCATCAGTTTGTTCAAAGATTCCTGTAAGCAAATACTTCATTTATAAGAAAAAGCACATGTAGTTATTAGTAGATATGGTAATAGAAGATTTTATAGTAAAGGAAGAGAGCATTTTTGAAAATAAGTATCAACCTTAATGGAATTTTTTATGTTGTTGTTGTTGTTGTTTTGCTTTTTTCGTATTTTGTATAAAAGAAATATTTACTCTGTGTACAGAAGAGATGGTCTGGAAAGCAGATGATTTTCCCTTCTTCTTGCCACCGCCGCCGCCTTCTGGAGCTGCAAAGTAAGTAAAACAATAATTATTTGCTAACTGTTTGTTGAAGTACATAAAGAAAGCGCACCATTTATGACATTTATCCCGTTGCTGTCCTTATATTTTCGTTTCTCTTTTCATCACTTTGAAAGTACAGCTCTGTAATCTATTATAAATATAAAACGTATTCTAATTTGGCATTCAGAAACATTATATTTGCCATGCCGACAGTCTTACCTGCTGGCTGCTTGAAGAATTCAGCTACAAGTGGTTCCTTGGATTGTGAGAGGATACCAACGACAGTTTCGTTCAGTGGATCCTTGTTCTTGTCTAACCAAGATGTAATGTTGTAAGGTACCTAGAATGATAATATTTATGTGTTCATTTATGTGTTTTAATTAAGATTTATTGACTGAAATATCAGTATATATTAAATATATATAATGAACACGTTTAAAAACCTATCAAACATCATTATCAAAGCTGATCATACGAAAACAAAAAATTCGTTGTTCCTGTGATTTATATTAAAATTAAAAAAACTTAATGCATTACTTACAGCTCCTGCGTAATGGTGCAGTTCAAAGTGAGCATTGCCACCTCCCTTTCTACTCTTTACGACTTTACCGAAGGCCTTTGACTTTCCGAGATGGTTGGTCATTAATTTGTCCTCGAAGGTCTTGTCAGAGGCCTTGGGGAACATGCATTCTTCTTCAAGAATGGACAAGATACCCATAGGCTGAAAATATGATTGAGAGTGTATCAATATTGTAATCATTGGAAGAAATAAAAATGCTATATACAGCGACTTAATAGTAAAAAAAAAGTGGTTAACTGCAAATTCTTCAAATTTTAAAATTTCCTTCAATATACTAACGTTTTGACTAAAAAAGCAGTTTTCTTCAGGTTACATAAATAAATAATAAGCAATAAACAGGAAAATTATGACAGCGTCACATGGCGTCATTTGCCACAACGTCTACACGTAACAAAGATTTTTGCGTAATAATCTTGGACAGGATCAATATGAAGCACTATACTAGTGAAGAAATCAGTTAAAGTGTAAATATTAAGTTTTTATTAAGGGGAAAATTTCTATTCAGAAACATTTCTATAAAAAAATATTACTCCTTGATAACCGACTTGTAAACTGTAACTTGATTGAAGGTTGATATTAGTACATTTCAAATAAACTAGACAAGAAATGGATAGAAAACAACAGCTTACCTTCTCAATCAATTCAATACAGGCTTGTAAGTCCATACCAAAGTCAATGAACTCCCACTGGATACCTTCTTTCTTGTATTCTTCTTGTTCAAGTACGAACATGTGATGGTTGAAAAATTGCTGGAGTCTTTCATTGGTATAGTTAATGCACAATTGCTCAAAGCTGTTGAACTGTAATAAAAAGGGTAAATATAAACAATCTTTATAAAAATATTATGTGATAAAAATATTACTACTGATAAAATCAAATTTACACGTTAGTATATATGTATGTTTATTTAAAGTGTATCTAAGTCTCTTTAAGTTAACTTACGTCAAAAATTTCGAAACCAGCAATGTCCAATACACCAATATAGTAGTTTCTCTTTTGTTTAGTATCAAGAGTTTGGTTAACTCTCTTGACCAGCCAGTCAAACATACGAGCGTAGGTGGACTTAGCAATAGCACCGACTGAGTTGACGACTTGTTCCTTGTTACGTCCCTGGGTGACAAACTCGGTACCGACCTTGATCTTTGGCTTCAACAAACCCTTGATAAAGTCTCCGCAGTTCATACCCATAAGAATAGAAACTTTCTCGGCCTCTATAAAAAAATCAGGTTACCATTTAATTCATATAAAAATCTTATCTCGCAATTGAGAACAAATTTTGAATTCATAACACATATAACATTTTATTCAATTTTCTATGTTTGTGATTGTATTTAAAAAAATAAAGAGATATAATGTGTTACCATCTCATTCATAATTATTGTAAGATATGAAAAACGGAAAATAGAATAAAGTATTATTACACATTCATGTCTGCTATTAAGTATATAATATTTTACCAGCTGTGCCATCACACTCGGCCTGCTCTTCTCTTGGAGCTTGCTTGAATTTCATCTCACCAAAGTGGACAATGGCAGCAGTGATCTTGTACAAGCTGTTCTTCTCATCGGGTGTGAAGCCCAACACATCGTAGGCATCCTGTAATTATCAATATGGTGTTTTGTATTACATCAGCATTTTTCTCTCATATTTCGGAAACCGTTTATAAGTTTATTACCGTTTTTTTTTCAGTATAAGAACTTAGGTAAACGATATCAAGATGAAAACACATGCATTATGGTGGATCATTATGTTTTATTTTTAAATCATATTTCAAGTATGAGATTCCAGTACATCATTTGAGGTATACACTTACATCAGTAGCTTTCATTTCCTCGACGTCATCAATACCATCTACGGTGAGCACACCCTGGTTGATGTAAGAATAGAGTCCTGGATCGGCGCTCATCAGACACATTTCTATAGAAATACAGGTACAGAATATAGCAGATATTTTAACTCTTATTTAAGACTTTTGTCACGGAGCATTAAAACAATTAAAGCTTATCATTGGCCAGTACGGATCATATCAATATGTATATCCGTTACTATTCATCGCAAGAACTATAGCTATTTTCTTCTGAATCAAATGTCCGGAAGTATTAAGGCAACATAATATATTCATGTAAGAAGTATATAGCTTTGGTAATGATGGAGCTTAGGATCTCATTAAACTATTACTAATAACTTATCACCTTCTGATTTTCTTTAATAAGTATGTCCATCTTTTATATTTTTGGGAAATTTTGGGCAGCCAAAAATCTTTAAAAGTTTTGAACAACTTGCAAGACTTTAGGGGAGCCAACCCTTTTACTGGCGCAAAGAAAAAAACCTTTACAGCAAGGTAAAGGGGCACTTCAAATTATTTAGAATTTTAATAAAATCTTTCAAAATTTTTTAAAAAAATTTAACCCCTACCGTGATACTTTGGAAAGCTGGTTTTCCCGCATCTGGTAGAAGATGTGGTAATTTTTTCTCAGCCCCATGCTGGTAAAGTTACCGGATTTTCCAAAAAGGTCTGAAAAAAATGGGGTTTTAAATTTTTTAAATAACCAATAAACCCTTTATCTAAAAAATAAGTTTTTAAATTGAATTATTTTTTTCAAATATAAAAAAAACTGTTTTTTTTTTAATTAAAATTAATTTTTTACAATTTTCTTAACAAATTTTTTAAAAAATTTTGAAAAAAAGTTAAAAATTTTAAAAATAAACTTTAAAATTTTAAAAATTTCCCCCGGGGATCTTTCCAGAAAGGGCCGAAATGGATACGGATGAATTACCCTGTTGGGGGTATAAGCTATGTTAAAAAATTTTGGGTGTATAAAAGGAACTCCTGAAGTACAAAACCAAGATTTTAAAATTTTTTGTAAATTTTTTCATAAATTTTTTTGAAGGATAATTATGCAAAAGTAAATTAAAAAAAATTTAAGTTGGAAAAAACGATTTTTTTGTATTTTTAAACCCGATTTCAAATAAAAGCGTTCCCAAATTTTTTTTTTAAAAAATTTTCACAATTAAAAAAATTATTCTGGAAAAAAAAAAAAGAGAAAACAAATTGGGTCTGAAATTTTTAACAGAAATTTGGTCTAACCTGGGAAAATCAAATTGGGAACAAAATTTTTTTTTGAAAAAAATTAATCCCCTCAGTCAAAAAAGCTTTTAGGGATTTCCTTTTATTTTTCCCGTAAAAAGGCCCAGTTATACAAACTTTCCCAAAAAATTAATATACGTTTTTTAAATAAATATCAAAAAATTGGGTTTAAAAAACATTTGTCAAAAGTGTTTTTTTTGTTAACTCTAGATAAAGATGATTTTTTTACATTTTACATGTATTTTTTTTACCTCCATAAATGATCATTTAAATGGGGGCATTGAATTTTTAAAAGTTTTAAAGCCACCCCGCCCATTTTTTTACTTTTATTTGTACAAAATATGAAAAGAACGTAAGTTTACCCAAACAGACCTGGTAACTCAATGTCATGTTATTTTTTAAAGAATTGGGGGCTTTAGGAATCAAAATTCCGGGGTATTGTATTTATGAAAGAAAAATTAATGTAAATAAAACATGAATAATGCATTTTAAATTTGGAAAATGATATAAAATTTAAAACTTGAAAAAAACTTTAACTAAAAAGATAAAAAGTAAATAGGGCCCATTCATAAAAAACCCAAATGCTTTTTGGACCACATGGATCCAGATACCCTCCCTCAGCCAATCTGTTTCAGGATATTTTGGGTTGCTATCAGTTTCTCTTTGTAATAGAGTTGGAAAGGAACGATGGTTTGTCAGATCGCGGAAATGCGCAGGCTGATCGGGGTCCAGCTAGTCGAAAACCTTTATTTTGGTTTTGTCATGCGGGCCATATAAATAAAATGTAAACTACGCTTTATTGATTTTAAAAAATACATGTGAAACGTGACGGACAATATGGTATCCCCTTTTTGTTCTAAAAAACTTCAAGCCGTCAAACAAAAGGCAAAAATAATAGTCGTATGTTGGATAATGAAATTTTTTCGTGTTAGAAAAACAAATTTGTATTTTAAATGGATTTCATGCGTTATTAGTTTGTTCGGAAGGATGTCAATAAATAAAACATTCACGGTTCATAGACTTAAGCTCATAATATTTTCCAGCTTTAAAAAAAAAATACAGCGCTATAAGGAAGTTTTTTAGTTATAGGGGAAAAGTTTCATGCTTTCATAAGCCGTCCCTTTCAAGTTTTTTTTTTTGATATAAGGAATAAAGGAATAAATTTTTTTTTGAAAAAAGTTTTTTTCTTAAAAAAATAATTAATTGGATAAAAATGGGTTAAGGAAAATTATGGAAATTTTGGGGTTTAAAGGGGTGAAAATCCCCATATAATTGAAAGAGGGTAGTGAATTGGTTCTTACTTTGGGGAAAGGGCGAAAAAATTATTTAAAAAATTTAGCATACAGTTTTTTCCCCTAATTTTTGGGGGTTTTTTGGGAAGGAAATTAAAAAATTGAATTTCGAATCTAGAGGAGTTTTGTTTCGGGGTTTTTTGGCTTTTCGTAAACCTCAAATACAGGGGTTTGCCGAATCTGATCCCCAAAGGGTACCTTTTATTTTTGTGTTTATTTAAAAAAAAGTAATTTTATTATTTGCGGTTTGTTGTATTTTAAGACAATTTAAAAAAATTATTCTTTTAAAACCAAAACTTCAATAAAAAAAGGTGTTATTGAAACGTTTCCCTTTTTGGTGTGTGCGGTGCCTTTTTCCCCTTGTCTTTTGGGTTGAGCGGGGATTGGCGAAGTAATGATTACTTTTTTGTGTTTCGTTTCCGGGACCGACTCACCCTGTTTCAACAAGAAAATTTATGCCCTTTAAAAAAACGTTAAATCTGAAAATCCTGAGAGCAAAACCCTCTTTACGCAACATAAACAAACCCTCCCAAATTATACTAGTTAAAAATTAATTTCAATAAAAACCAAGTTTTTCTCCAAAGTGGTTTTATCTGAGGGATTAATATATTAAACATTTTTTACTTTTTATTTTTATAAAATTTATTTAAAAAAATCCTTTCGGGAAGGCCCTAATTTTTTTGTTATTCCTTCGGAACATTGAAGGGCTGAGGGCCCCGTGATGCTAAAGTCATTGTCTTATACATTTTTTCTCGCTTGGGGGCCCATCCGCCCGGGGACGTTTTTTCATGTAGTAATTATCTAGCTAATTTTGCGAATTTCATAAAGGGACAGTAGTGCCTTAAAAAGACCGGGGGGGCACCTGAGAATTCCCACCTCAGTCCGTTTTAAGAGTCGCCGTTTAACGATTACAATGTCAGTGCGACTTAAAATTCAACAAAAGACAAATAAACAAACAAAAGACAGAATCATAAAGAACAAGCAATATTTCATATGCATAAAAGCTGACCGTTATGAGAAAGAAGAATATACATTTATAATTGAAAGAAAAGAAAGATAATATACTTACGTAATCAAACAGGACTGGTTTTCGCGGTCTGAAATATTAAAATCAGACGATTACTAATGTAAATTAAGTTAAATGATACTAGAATGTTGACTTAATGTAATGATGTAGTAATTTATCCTAAAAGGTAAAAGATAAAAGACGCATACAAGGTGTAGACTATTAAAATGAAATTGGTAGACAGAATAAAACTTTCCAGAATGATGTACAATAGTTTGTAGCGGGTTATTATTATCATTTTATTATTATTTTTTTTATATACGAAGTATTAATTTAAATGATTTTTTTTGTACTCGGTATCATAAATATTTCTATTTTCTGTACTATATAAAGTGGCTATATAAAGAAATAACTTTCATATACATGTATGTTTAAAATTAAGTGATTGAGTTTAAGTTGTTGATGACGGCGAAGTCGTTGATGTTGTTGTTTTTGTTGTCGATGTTGAATAAATCCAAAACTAATTTGCCTGTATATCTACTTCCAGTGCGTTCAATGCACGAGGGAACGAGATGATTAGATTTAATAATTATGCTTTTTGGTATGCACATGTGACTTATCTACCTCATGTGAATGACAAACTAAGAAACAGTTACCGAAAGCCTTCTAGTGATTTAATTGACAATTAACGATTGATATATGCTGCCATTGTTACAGTTGCCCACGTGTTAATTGATAGATAATTCCATTACTTCAGCACGATTCGTAAAGATAATAGCCGTAACCGGCCAAAAATTACTGATAAGCATACGGAGTGCGTCTTTAATTATCTATCGGTAATTATTGATAATCAAGATTTTTGGCAATGGTGATATAAGTGTAAGCATATGTTCTGTTTGGTACTGGTGGCCATTAATATTAATTGCTAGAGTAGAACTACATACATTATTACATAAAAATGCTACCAAAGCAAAAGTCTGCTATAAACTTATATACAATGTATGTGGGAGAAATCACAAACACATGTATGTATGACTTATTCGCACCAATAGTTAGCCGAAATTATCGACTTGAAATCTTCTTCTTACTCGAGTGCGATAAGAACAGATCCTATTTTTTTTAATAATTTGGTTTCTTATAGAAAATATAATCTACACTAGCTCTGGAGAAAACTTTTAGATCATGTATGCGAAAATTATTATAATTTGTT